CCCCAAAACCCCAAAACCCCAAAACCCCAAAACCCCTAATTGTTATGTTTTGGCAAGAGATGTAGCAATTAGTATTATTTTTAATTAATTTATTAATGGTAATTTTTACGCCTTTATCAGCTATTCTGATTCTCTGCTTTTATTCATTTATCCAACTTGGAAACAGCAAAGTTGAACCTTTAGATTAATACAACTATAACATGAAGGTGAAAGTTGATGACTACAACCTAGTGTATGAACAATTTACTCTTCAAAAAATCTTAAATCATCATACTTTTCTCTATCAAAATGCAGACAATAATCAAAAGTAGTTTTATTTCTGCGAAGTCTTTGATTATAATCAGTATGTAGAAAATTGCCATCAAATTGTCAAACAAATCAATCAAAACAAGACTATTAAAGAGGACTATGGCGTTGTTTGGCTTAAGAGATAGAGGTCTGGTGATTTTGTAAGCTAATAAATTGACAGCTACATGAATTTAAACTCTGAGTATGTCCCAGATTTAATTATTATGGAGAAATTAAATGAATAAACCTAGCTTCATTACATGATCTATAATATTTCTCATGTGCCTGCAAAGAAAAGTGCAGAGGGGTTTATGGACACTGAAGAAATGGATAAATTAGTAAATAAATTAGAGTTTAGGCATTAGAATAAATCAGGGTAAATCAGGCCACTTAAGCATGGCACATATTCTATTATTCTTGAGTCTTAAGGCTAAGTTATTTGTGAGAAACTAGAGATGTACATGCTTGGAGAGACTATGCTTTCTATTTGCATCACTATCAGCTTTCTAGCTATCACCACTCACTTGTTTTCAGTATCTAGATTCAGTGTCTATATTACTCATAAGCTTGTACCTCTTCTACTAATGCTTAAATCTGTTTTAACAACCTTGACTGCAGCAGAGTACGGATTATGCACGAGCCTTTCCAATGGTTTGAACTTACAAATAGATCAAACTCTTAGCACTCTTGTTACGATATTTAACACTTTATTGAATTCATACATCCTTAGTCAGGTAATGGGCTTTAAATACCTTAGGGAAAATCTAGAACCCATGCAAACGAAGTAGTTATTCATGCTAACAATCTCAGCATACTTTGTTTTCTCACTTCAAAACATCCAAATGATCTTCGACCGAATGTCTATTCTTGGAGCAGTAGTTACTCTCGCTTTTTACAGGCATATGATCAAGATTGTGTTCTTTAACAAGCAGAATACTGAAAGGCAAATAAATAACTACCTTACATTAACCTCTTTATCACCAACTAATCCAAATTATGAAATATTGATGATCAAATCCAGGCAGGCAAGGTAAATCTTATCTAATTTGATTTATAAACTTTAGAAATGAGAGCATAATAGCAGTACTATTCTTTATGCTTAAATTTATGTTAGTAATTGACGGTCTAGCTAAGTTGAATTAAAAGGATGACAGGGTTTATAAAGCCTACAAATAACTAGGAGTAGATATCCTAGATTACTTAGCCTTGTTCTTCACATATTGGAATCTAAAGCCTTTAAGAAATGATGCTAGATTTGAAATATCTGACGTATTTATTAATATATTAATAACTCTCTGTAGAATGCCAGAAATATGGGACTAGAATTAGTAAGCCCAACGCGATTGGCAAAGAATTATCAATGTCAGATTTCTATAACTGATTTTGAAAGTGATGAATCACTTACTAGGAATTTGAATTAAGAAGATTAGAGTTGGGAAATTGTTGATGATGAATTAATGCCTATGATATTGATAAATCCATTTGAAATTATAGATTAAAAATAAGATGAGCAGTATTTTGATATTATAAGCAGGCTAAGCTTGATTAAAAGAGAACCGTAGAAACTCGATGTATCTCAAGTAACTGAGAATCAATAGGTTGAAAACGAGGAATAGATGCCTATTTTGTAAAATTAAATTAATTGAAAAGATACTTATTAATATTTGGAAGATAGATAATTTTAAGTTTGGGGTTTTGGGGTTTTGGGGTTTTGGGG